CCCCCCCCCCCGTCACAAAGTCTGAAGCCGTCTGTTGCTATGGAAACAAGAATAGCGCTTTTCAGAGCGGGTAGCTTCTCTTTACTCTAGGGCTAACACAATAGACCGAAGAAAAAGATTTCCTTTCTTTCGTCAACCAGAGCAAAAACCTGTGCTAAACAATGACCCCACACTCCTACTTGAAGTAGTTATACCTCGTTACTATAGTCACCATCACGGGTCGAAACGAATGTCTAGGGAAGTTCTTACTTTAGACATACAATACTGGAGTTTTGTTGTTAGAGTATTTGGAGCCATCAATGCTATCTTTCGAAATTGAAGGAGACAAAGCGATGTTGAATCACAATGTGAGACCACACTTGGTGATGACAAACCATAATGCAACTTTTTGTCTGGTGCGCCATCAGCAATATAACTCTGAACTGCACTTAGTGACTTTCGGATATACATTTCCGGCTTTGAAGAAGAATCACGGAATACTGAAGTTGCCTCTCAACGCATTTTTTCGTATGCAGAGCACTAATTTTACAATAGAGCGATTTTTGAAGCTTGTAAATCGGCATGTCTCAACGTGTCTCATTACTAATGTCTCTCTGTACTTCCTGTCCTTTATACACACTTCTGACTACCACAGTTGCCAGGAGAAACAACTCATTTTCGGACACATACAATAAAATTAAAAAGCTTTTTTTAAAAGTTTTTCATACACTATAGTGTATATGTTACTATAGTGTATATTGGCAGTCACATAGTCGCTTTTGTAAATGTCTAGAATATATACACTAGGTCTAGTTAAGTGCCACTGCCCTGCATACATTTGCCAGTTATGCCCTACATAAATGTTTCCTTAAGGTTCAGTGCCAATGTCAGGTATACATTAAACCGGTACTCCGAACACTGATGTTTCTCCTAATTTATCCTCAGCAGATATTAAAATATTGAATAAATATACAGTCGGACCCCGATTTAACGAATTCATCGGGACCGGAAATTTTATTCGTTAAATCGGGGTCATTCGTAAAATCGGGGTTCAAAAAAAGTTGTTATTTGTACATATGTATTATTAAAAATTACTAGTTATAAACGACTATCTAAGATAAGAAAGGAATTTCCTGTTTGACTCATAGACCACGTGACAAACCCCCGGAAAATGATCTTGCAAGTGTAATGTCTTATTGACTCTGCCCACCTACCCACGACGAATTTTGTTTTTCCCTGTTGCGGGCTTTTCTTTTGTTTGAGACGAATATGCACTTTTTCCATTTTATTACTCCCAGGAAAGATTTTTTTCCCTTTAGATCATTTTTCCTTGATCATTTGATCATTGACCAAGGAAATGATTCCTTGATCATTAGATCATTTTTCTGATCAAAATTAATGAGAAATATTTTTTCCGGATGTTGAAATAATTCGTTAATTCGGGGTTAATTATTCGTTAATTAGGGGTTTTTAACTCTGTTTTTGCTGAGGTTGAAAAAAAATTCGTTAAACCGCGAAATTCGTTAAATAGGGGCTCGTTAAAGCGGGGTCCAACTGTAATTGGTTGGTTGGTTCTAATGCCACTTGTCACACGGGCAAGCCTACTTGGTGAAACCGAGCAAATTTAAGTCAGAGTGTGCGATTCTTGTTTTTCAGTGGCGCCATCTATGGCCAAGAATTGGACTTCACCGCATCATACTTCACACCTGTTTATAACGAGGACCCATTCATACATCCATCCACAGATCGTAATTTTGACCTGAATCAGATATAAATAATAATATCGACGAATAAATTAGTATTAAATCGGATGTAACAAATATTTTGGACCTTCACCAAATCGACTATGTAATTGTTGACATTTACCGGAGAAAGTCGACATTCTTTTGATTTCGGTCATTCATAATAACATCTACACATGTGAATCAAAGAGTTTGTAGTACAATAAAGAGATTTTCAGTTCAATTTAAAGTTAGATGTAGAGATGTAGATTATCAGTTTATTGACATTTAATTCGTATTTTTCTCTTTTTTTTTTAATAGAGACACCATTTTGCTCAAGCTATGGCCATTTTAAATACAGATGGATGTAATATTTTAGAAAATCTATCAAGAAGGGTAAGTATGAAAATCAGAAGTTTATTTTTAAGTGCAAGGAAGGACTGCTCCTTGCAACATTAATCATTCAACAGCTAAACACGAGTACCACGGCTCAGAGTTGAAAACTCAACCAATGAAATATTTTACTAAATTAATTGAAATTTTAAGAAGGAATCAATATAGTTTGTGTGTTTGACCTCTTTTCGGTCACTTTTGTCATTAAAATCTGTATTTTAAAAAAAGAGAACGCTTTCCACAATGCTTCTGTGTGTATTTTTCGTAAATAATTAACACTTAGTGGTAATTTTATATGATTATGTTTCAATAAATTAGTCCTCGCTGTTTTAGTTGATTAGGTTTAACTTCAAAGAAAACCTTACAATATTTAAGAATATTTAAGTAAAAATTTATTTACACCCATGTCTACAAATTAAGTATAATTCGGAATCGCACAGAAATTGAAATTGAAAATTTCACCCGTAGTGAAAATTTCACCCGTAGAATTAACACACACACATACTTTCAAGAATGACATGCAAATTACAGGAAGCCGCCAGATTACGCCAATAATACGCCACACTGATAAGAGTAAGAAATGGGCATATAATGAGTGATGACAACGATGTTAAATTGTTCACAAGCATTTTCAAAGTCTCTCAAATCCATAACCAAATAGTTAGGAGACAGAGGGCGAGTTTGGATGATTTTTTACGTGGTTAAATTATCGGCCGCCTGAAATGTGGGTCAACTCAGATGGAAGTAACCAAGGAACTTGGAATTGCCCATGGCGTCTTCCCTAGGATTTTGTAACGATTCCAAAATGGTGGAAATTTCAGTTGACGTTACAGTACAGGTCGTCTTCGAGTTACATCGCCAAATGAAGATCGGTATTTGGCAGTAACTGACAAAAGAAGCAAACGGGGCACAGCATCCGGCCAGTATCGTCAGCAATCTGTAGTTATGGAATAGTTTCAAAACAAACCGTGTTCTGACATTTGGGTATTGTCTATATGCTCGCAGGCTTGTCAGATGCCTTCTCTGTTGCCAGCGATTATCCTGGAGTAGAGAACATGCAATGAAGACATCGTCACAGTGGGCTTCTGTGCTGTTTTCCTACGAGTCCAAGTTTTGCTTGCAATTTGATTCACGGCGGTCTTTCTTACAAAGAACGCCTTCTATCCGTTACCATCGAGACAACAATATTGAACGATATCGTTACGGTGGGGCAGGATTGCTCGTTTAGGACGGAATTATACTGGGCTCCAGGAATATAAGAGCCATTTTCAAATTTTAAATATCTGAATTTATCGGGACATCATTTTGAAGCAACGTGTACGTTTTTTAGAAGTGCCATGGACGGAAAATTTGTTTTTATAGATGACAATACCCGTCCTCAATGATGAGAATGAAGTCTATTTGAAAAATGGGATGAGGATTGCTCATTCCAAGTCAGTGTTCGCTGAAAAAGATGCAATTCCGCTCTGGTTGTTGTTCCAATGAGCTCCATGAAAACTTACTCTCATTTTGGCAGGATGACTCTTGCACCTCTCGACAATTAAGCAACTTTTTCAAGCCAAACTATTTAGAAGATTGTATATTTCTTGTTGGTGTGGTTTTATACTCTAAAAGAACTTGCTTTTTCCGCCAACTTTCGTACACCATAACAACATCATAACCGAATACCTTCTGAGGATGTCACCCATACGCAATGGCCAGCATTTTCACCTGACTTCAATCAGATAGGGCATTGTGTGGGACATGCTTAGCCGATGAATTTCGGAACGTTAAACCACCTACTACATGCTCACCGGAACTTCATAGGGCATTGCTTGCTGAGTGGAATGATCTTTTTCAAGATCTGCTCGATTATTTGAAACTCAACATGCCTATGTTGTAAGAATCGTATTTTATCGCATGGGAGACATATTATGTGTTAACCATCATACCAACCATGTAATATTTAGTTTTTGTAAAGGAGATGCTTTTTTTTTAATAATAACTCCAATTAGCAAAAATCGCACTTGTTATAAATGGTATCATACAAGCACTATCTTTTTTTTGTTCTTTATCTTTTGTTTAATGAGTTGTTTAACAAATTTTGTTTAATTTATGAATAAGTCAAATTTGTTTTGTTTCTGGGCCTTTATTTACTAAGCTGGTATTATCCTCAATTTATGAGTGTAATTACAAAATTGTGCTGATTCATATGTAATCCAAATTTTTATGAAATATTAAAATTGAAATAAAGCAAATTAAGCTTTATTGTTTTAGGAATATACTCAATGCTTAGACAATATGAGAGACGTCATACTAGCAACAGATCTTGCGCATCATCTTCGAATCATCGAAGATATCGAAGCAATGCAAACAGGTGATATTATTATTTTCTCTTATTTGTCATTCATTTTTTTTAACTATCTTATCACGATGTACCACAAAATGCGCATTTTATACCAGGAATTACATTTTGATTAAAATAAACAGATCTATATAGTGCGTTCACCAGGAGTTGGCACTTGGCTCCTCCTTCTTCACGTGATATCCGACGAAACTATTTCGCTATTTTTGGGAGAAGGATATGAACAATCCTGAACAAAGTTGCTACTTGGCGATCGTACGACAGAAATATTTATTTCGCTACCTTTATGTACATTTTTTTAACATTAAATATTTCATAAATTTGATGATATTTCTCTCTTTTGAGAGAATAGTTTGTCTTTTTTGAGACATTTTGCTACAATATATTTAATTAGCTAGAGTAACGGAAGGTAAAATAGCAGATGATACAGAGAAGTAAGTGACTGAAAAAGAATTGACTGTTTGAGTTTGGCGCCCATGAAGGGTTGTCTCAATTTCAAGCTCGGTTACCTTCCTCCTCTTACTCCAGCACTGAAATGAACTCTTCGTCCGAGGAGGTGGAGCCAAGGAACTCCCCGTGATACAAGTGCTCTAAGAATGTGTTGCGCAACTCTCCCTTACAGTGAACGCCAGATGTTTTGCGCCAATTTATATTGGACGTGGCCTTGGCTTGGCTCCTTCTGATTCACTGATAATAAAAGAATTTTCAGATATGAAAGAAAAAATCTATATTTCTAGTTTTTATTTAAGAAATTGGCTTCCAAATGAACCTCTATGCATCTTAGATCATCATATTGAATATCCTGCGCCTAGACTTTTCATAGAGAAAAAAAAACAGACCACCCTGAATAACTTTTGATCTTCTTATCGGATCTTCACGTTCTATGACTCAATCTTAGTCTCTCAAGGGGGTGACCTCAAATATGCTAATTTATACAAGGGCAGGCTGTATATTAAGTTATGAAATCAGACAGAAAAATTTACTTTCTCTGATTAAACATACCTTTCTTTCGACGGATTCAGGTTTCAGACCCCCAAAAATAGAGGGAGTAGTTTCGATCTGGAAATTATGGTGCCAATAGTTTGGTTAGGAGAGTGTTCCAAAGTTTGGACCCCTTAATGTTAATTTTACTTTTTGCGTATTTCATTATATCTCGAGAACTTTTTTATAGAATTTTTAAAAAATTTGCACACAATTATAAAATTCATTTATCCAAACATAAATTCCATGCAAGAAATAACCTTTATTAAATATATATTAATATTTTTTTATTTTATTTAAAAATGGTCAAAAAAATGGAGAAATTTTTTCTTATTGTGAATCATACAATTTTTTGCATTATCTTAAAGAATATGATTTTGCATCGAAATTTAGAAAATTTAAGCAAAATCGGTCGAATAGTTCCAGAGAAATTGAATTTCAAAAAAGTTAGATATTTAAAATTGGATTTCTATATTTATTCTATTCGACCGTTGTTGCTTTAACTGTGTATTTTGCAGTGTAAAATCATATTCTCTTCAAAACGGTACAAGAAATTTTATACCTCACAATTCAAAATTATTTTGACTATTATTAAATAAAATAATAAAAAATAATAAATATTTACTAAAATTTATTTTTCTTCATGGAATTATCTTTAGACAAACGAGTTTTATAATGGTGTGCTAAAATTTTCAATTCGCTTAAAAAGTTCTTAAGATATAGCGAAATACGCAAATTATTAAATTAACATTAAGGGGCCCAAACTTTGGACCCCTCTCCTAACCAAACTATTGGGACCCTATTTCCCAGATTGCGGCTACCCCTCTATTTTGGGGGTCAGAAATCCGAAACCATCGAAAAAAGATATGTCATTCAGAGAAAGTACGTTTTTGTGTCTGATTTCGTAACTTAAAATATCGTCTGCACTAATTGATTAGCATATTTGAGATCACCCCCTCGAACCATTAAGAATGAGACCTAGAAAGCGAAAATCAGATCATTAGATCAAAAGTTATTAAGAGTGGTCCGTTAATATTTTTTTGCGCATTGTACTAGTTTCTACTTTGGATATATTGCAAATATTTACAGCCTTCTCTACATTTTTCTACAAACTATTTCTGCATCAAAATTTTTGTCAACGAATGAATGAGCGTTTTGGCTCATTAATTACGAATTCGATCCTGAATTTTTTTTTCTTGCTCGAAAGTTAAATATTTATTTTCAATTCTAGCTTCCTAAAAATATTTTTATTAACTTCAAATGGCAGTCTTAATTTTCTGATCCCCTCAAACAATAGTTCTCCTTTCAACAAAAAAAACTTTTTGAGTATAAATAATTTTTTACTCTAATAAATAGCTATTCGTCAGGTTAAGGCTTTTAAACCTCTCTGATAGTTAAACTGAGTTTTTTTTCAGAGTGCTATTTAAATATTAATACTTGCCTAAAACAATTTTTTTGTCGTTACTATTAAAATTTAGCTTGCTCTGAAGAGTACTTCATTGAACATATAATAAACAAGTAATATTTTAAAAAAATTTAAAGTCAATTCCCACTTAGGTTGACAAAGAAAAATTTCATTTCGTTTTTCGCTCATCCCTATTTAATCAATGAATTAATATTTGAAAGAAAAAAAACTATATTATCATCAAGTGTCATTCACTACGAGTTTAAAAAAAATGTATTTGGATGAATAAAAAAGTATTTTATTAACGATTGAAAATTTGAACAAGATGTTGAGAGAGTGTGAACTAATATAGTTCGCTCACCGGGAGTTGGCACTTGGCTCCGCCTTCATCACGTGGTATCCGACGATACTATGTCGCCATTTTCGGGAGAAGGATGTGAACAATCCTGAACAAGATTGCTGTTTGGCGATCGTATGGCAAAAGTATTTATTTCGCAAACTTTATGTGCATATTTTTAAGCATCAAATATTTAATAAATTTGATGATATTCCTCTCTTTAGAGTGAATAGTTTGTCCTTTTTGAGACATTTTGCTGGCAAAACATCAGTTTTTTAATTTAAAATACATTTAATTAGCTAGAGTAACGAAAGGTATTATAGCAAAGCATGATGCGAAGTAAATGACTGAAAAAGAATTCACAGTTTGCGTTTGACTCGCATTAAGGGTTGTATCATTTTCAAGAGCGGAGATGTTTCTCCTCCTCCTACTCCCGAGCTAAAATGAACTTTTCGTCCGAGGAGGTGGAGTCAAGTGCCAACTTTTGATGAACGAACTATAGTAGGAATTGAAAAAAGAATGCAAAATCGATTGAATTTGCCATTCTTATTTTTCAGAGGGCTATGACTTTAAGAATCAGCTGCATCATCAACTACTTATGTGTCTTCTAATTACGTGTTGTGATCTCTCCGATCAAACAAAAGACTGGAAGAGTTCAAAAAAAATAGCGGTAAGATTATTTTTCGCCCTTAACATTTTCACAATAATAGGGAGTTAGCGCACTTTTGCGTTACCTCCCGAACGTAGGATTGAAGCAACTGCGCTTGCTCGCGTTTATTTTAGATGCTACGTATCTTTATACGTTATGTTGGCGTTATTTACACTACAAAGACAAAACTACAAGCACTCTGTTCATAGCCGTTAAATATTGTTTTCTGCTTAAGCTTACCTCCGAACTAAAAACAGGGACATGGAAAGCAAACTTCAAGAAATGTATAGATGAAAATTAGAAATGACTCGTGTGATCTTATAATAATTGGTTCATTTAATACATAAATAATTTTATTGGTTTTTGTTTAATATTATGGTTGTCTATTCAATTCATTACGAATTAAAGTGAAGTCAACATTGCTTTCGTCATTCCAGTGAATAAATATGAATTCAGAACATACAGAATTGTAATAGTTATAGCATATTCTTCTTCGTTATAGAATAGTATATATTTCTGTATCCATATAATTCGGAAAACAACAATAAAAAATTATCCAAGTTACTTGAAATAGTGCCATTTGTGCTGATTCTTAATTAATTT